TATATATAGAGAGAGAGAAAATTCACCTTTCAGTTTGATACTTTAGTCTCACAGTTCAATATTTTTTAAAACAAAAAGGGAAATGTCCCTCTCCTTAACTTGTAATTTATTCAAATTAACCATTTGTTTAACCTGAAAAGTACAGTTCTTAAATTAAATCTTGCAGAAACAGCAGGTTTCTCAGTGGCTCTGTGCTCCACAATGCAGCCTAGGTGGAGTAGTCGAACACAGCTCCACTGATCACACAGAGCACCTTCACAAGACGAAGTTGATAAAATAAATTAAAAAACTGTAATGTTCCATACATAATGTATTGAACCTAAAGTACAGTACTGAACGATTTGGTACAGCCCTAATATGTATTGATTGATTCATTCATTCATTCACAATCTGTGGATTTCCTCATACTCAGCTTTTATACTAATTGGCATTTTGTATATAATATATTTATCCTGTATTGCAGTAGAATTATGATGAAATAAATTGATTTACTTTTTTGTTTTGGCACCTGAGATGTTTTGTGACCTGCTGCTGTTTGAATACACAACTGAACTTCCTTTTGTTTGACAATAAGACTGTCCGCCCTAGACATTTTTTGTATACTGTACACACACTGACTCTGTTTTGTCTCACAGCTGGCTGTTCCTGCAACAAAATACCATCAGACTTAGTGTATACCATTCAAACARACTGCCTGCCAGATCCATTTCACTTTGAGAAGTATCAGGTGTCAGTGAAGTTAGACAAAACGKACATCGGTACACAATCCATATGTGTGACCCTCACCCCACAGTTAGACACAACAAATGAAGTAAGGTAAGTAATGTTTTTAAAACGGAAGATTGCACACGTTCTGTTTTCTCCCTGTAGTTCTGTCAAAAGGTCTGAAAAGGGAAATATATACAAATTACTTTTTTAAAGCTAAGTGAAATATATATATTTTTAACAAAACATGACTGAACACTTGTGATTAGTGCTTCATATTTTTTAAAGTTTTTTTTAAAGTAGCATTTTGTTTTGTAGCCTTGTGATTAGAGTCCAACAATTCTCATTTAAATGATTTTAATAATCTTTTACGTCTCATTTTACAGTCTCACGTGCACTGATGGCTGTGACCCGGGCACAGAAAACAATGATGCAAAAATTGAGATGAAGTGTGCCACAGGTGTGTGTTCAAACATCAAGTGGTACACCGAGGACCTAAGAAATGAGGACCAATGGGACGTAAGTCTGAAGTCTGACTCGTATGATTAGGAGAGACCAAGTTGCATTAGATTTATAAATGTGCATGTTCATTTCTTTGCAGGGCTCAACAAAAGATTGCTACAAAGCTGCACAGAGAATTCCTCTGATTGATAATAAAAATGAAGAAACTGAATGTAAAGTGAAAAACCAAGACATCATAAATGCCAAAAAACAGAACAAAAATGTAACTGTTGTGCTAATCTATACCAGTGAGTATATCTGTTGGCTTAACTTATAAAAACAAATTACTGAATTAAACAAAACCACAGGTTGAAGAGGTATTTATTTTAAAATGTTTTCCTTCCCCAAAGAATCTAGCAACCTGTATTACAAAACCTACATCATAAAAACTTCATCATCATCACCATCGGATAGGTCAGCTGAAGATCCCAGCAACGAAAACCCCCACCCAACACACCCTTCCCCCACCACAGACAAAACCACCGGTGGTCCCAACAACACTCCGCCTGGCAGCGTCGGTACCACCAGCAGCACCACCTCTGCTGCTTCACCCATTAAAACCACTTTAAAGACCACCAAGAAACCTGAAGACCTCATGTGCACCRTATCACCAAACAGCGGGACTGTTTTTGATGCTTTCACAATAACTTGTTCCACAAAGTCGCCTTGTTACAAATGTCTATATTGTTTTAGAGCGAAGGGTACGTACACACAAGTTTTGAGAAATGTTTTCTTTTGAAGTTTTGGTTTGTGTAGTGTTTCTTGAACATTGTTTTTTATTATTATTATTATTATTATTATTTTGAAAATTACCAGGCAAGCCTCTGCTCTGCAGGAAACACGGTGTCATAAAGGCCGTGTACCTTCCTCACGGCGACAGCAGCTCAGACCACAACCTGCTCATAAAAGCAACTGCAAAAGGTTCAAAAAATACAGTTAGCACCACTCTAACTGTACAGGTTTGTCACAAACAGGACGGGGGTATTTTTAAAAGTTATATTTTTCTTTACGTTTTTGTAATATTTTGTTGTATTTTATTTTACTTTATTTAATTTAATTTAACTTTTATATTTTATTTTACTTTATTTAATTTAATTTAACTTTTATATTTTATTTTACTTTATTTTATTTTATTTTGTGTTGTTGTGTTGTGTTTTTAGGTTATGGATTTCACATCAAACTCGAACTCAGTGGATGGTCACATCTCGGCTGTAGTGAGTGCTGTGGATCAGCTTAAAAAACAAGGCCTACTGTCCGGAGAAGCAATCGGAGAACTGTTGAACAATGTGGCCCAAAACCTGAACGATCAATCAGATACATTAAGTAAAGAAGATCGACAAAAGGTGATCTTCCTCTTACTCATTGGACTGCAACTTTTATTAGTCAGCAGCTCAAAATCACAAAGAAACTTTGCGTTAGTCTCACATTTACTCTTTGCTGTTTAGCAGGTTTAAATATGAAAGAGTGTCAGTTTGCACGTTCACTGTGTCAATAGTTTACAGAAATGTTTGCATGTCCTAAAAAGCCTCCTTGCATGTTTCATCAAAATACGGACATTTTGCAAATAAAAAGAAAAAAATATAAAGGAGTAAGTCTCTGCCAAAAAACTCCATTATTGGATACATTTCAATTTTTTTAGAAAAATAAAGGAAATTATCTGAGCTCCAAAAGTCATAAATTTGCAAGAAAAAAACTGAATTTCTGAGATTAATTGAAAAAAAGRAATTTTCTTATGTCGAAACGTTATAAATTTGAAGGGAAAAACTCAGAAATATCCATGATTAAAATGTTCAGTATTTAAACTATATTTCCTGACATTGTAAAGTCAGAAGTTAACAAGAAAACAACTCTTAAATTTATCAGAGATTAAAAAAAAAACTCTGAAGATTAAACACATGGACRCTTCAAACCTGGACTAGATTATTCATAATCTAGTCCAGGTTTAAAGTCTCTACATTTTTTAGTTTTTAAACAAGAACAGATTAAACATTATGGTAGTGAAAATAGGAGGAATAGCCCTTTAGCCATTCATAAAAGCTTCAGTATCTTTCTTGTAAATTTCTGACTTTATTATGTCAGAAAATGTTTAGTTTGAATATCAAAAAATAAAAAACAAAACTCGCAAATTTGTGACTACATAAGAGA